TGAATTTCAATCAAAATATTCAAAATATTCAAAAAATTTAGCCAATACAAAAATATTTTGAATATTTTGAATTTTTTGAATTTCAAAATATTCAAAATATTCAAAAAAAATAGCCAATACAAAAATATTTTGAATATTTTGAATTTTTTGAATTTCAAAATATTCAAAATATTCAAAATATTCAAAATATAATGAACTTCTCCCAAAAGTCTCTCTGAACCTCTTTTTTGGTGATTTCATTATTGTTTAAATATTTTGAATATTTTGAATATTTTGAATATTCTGAATTTTTTGAATTTCAAAATATTCAAAATATTCAAAAAATTTAGCCAATACAAAAATATTTTGAATTTTTTGAATTTTTTGAATTTCAAAATATTCAAAATATAATGAACTTCTCCCAAAAGTCTCTCTGAACCTCTTTTTTGGTGATTTCATTATTTTTAAAATATTTTGAATATTTTGAATATTTTGAATATTTTGAATATTTTGAATTTTTTGAATTTCAAAATATTCAAAATATTCAAAAAATTTAGCCAATACAAAAATATTTTGAATATTTTGAATTTTTTGAATTTCAAAATATTCAAAATATTCAAGATATTCAAAATATTCAAAATATAATGAACTTCTCCCAAAAGTCTCTCTGAACCTCTTTTTTGGTGATTTCATTATTTTTAAATATTTTGAATATTTTGAATATTTTGAATTTTTTGAATTTCAAAATATTCAAAATATTCAAAAAATTTAGCCAATACAAAAATATTTTGAATATTTAGAATTTTTTGAATTTCAAAATATTCAAAATATTCAAAATATAATGAACTTCTCCCAAAAGTCTCTCTGAACCTCTTTTTGGTTTTGGGAGATTGCTTTCAATTTGAAATGGAATCAAATAGTCAACGGTCAAATAGTACATGAAGGTCCATCGTACATATATATATATTCAGATATATTCAGTAGTTTGCCACAATCTACCCCTGATGAAGCCAGATCTCCCAACAGCCATCATTTTACCGACCCCCGCGGACCCATGGAGCCCCCGTGGAGCCCCCGGCAACGGGGAAGGCCAGGCCGGGCCGTGTGGCCATGGGGCCATGGGCCATGGCATTTTTCGGTGAGACGACGGCGTGACGAAAAGGGTCCCGAAGACTGAAAAAACCTGAGACATGTGGACTACTTTGAACCAAGTTCCAGAAGAAAATGGAATGAAAATGGGAAATTATGGGAATAGAATCATCATCTTCTACACTCCGAAGATACTCCGAATTATCAATTAAGCAATGAAAGTGTCTTTGAAGTATGGTAGGACCTCCAAAAGAGATCCCACAGTGATCAACTTCGCCTGCTTTCTCAGCCCTCAGCCGGGTGCGAGAATGATTTCGCGCGGAAGTGCGATCTTGAATCGAAATGTCATTGAGGGTCGTCTCCCGAGAACATATGATGAATTTGTGATATTCATGTGTAAAAATACGTTATATCCATTATTCATCACAAATATTGCGGTTGAAAGCTTTATGGTATTCAAATTGATGGATCATAAAATCCGAAAACCAGCTATTCCAGCTATTTTCAAAACGTATCTTAGGTTAAGTTATATAAGTTATATACATGATATATACATGTTATATACATGAAATCGGCAAGCCAAGGCAGCCATGGCGACACGGATCTTGCACCTGCACGGGTGGCTTCACCGATCTCGCTTTCATAGGGATTTCATATGGGGATTGCATATGGGGATCGGGGAGAGGGTGGAACAAATTAGGTGGTGATGAAAAATTGGTGATGTTGATGTGCTTTTGATCATGGAAAACGTAGAGATGGGCTTGAAAAATGGTAAATTCAATGGGATTTAGTGATATAATCAGAGCTGAATTGAATGGGTGGTCAAATGGGAATTTGTTGAATCTATATCGGACCTTCCAGCAAGCCAAGTTTGATTACCTGAGGGTATATCAACGGTTTTCACAAGATTTTTGTTGACCTTCTTGTTGCTTGCTTTCCATGTTATATCCCATTCCATGCCCATAAAAACGCATAAAAATCACCGCTACATCCCAGAAATGGAGCTGTCCATCTAACATCATTCCCAGCCCTATCCCCCGCCTCCGGTTCAGCAGAGCTTCGGCTAGCTCTGGTACAGAGTCGTACGTGGAAGCAGTGCGGGTTGACCAAAATGGATACCAAAACATGGGTATAATCACTGTGCCATTTACCAAATATGAACTGATATAATCCAAACTGCTACAAGAATCATGATGAATTACTATTTACTATTTATCACGATTATAAATATATCTATATTATAAGTAGATAGCATTTTTATATATGTGTAAACAATATCGAACATGTCCTCAATAAGGCTACGGATCTAAGCCTGGTTGGCAAAATCAATAGGTGAAATCATTGATTTCCATGCGAATTCCATCATTTTATGGCGAGAAGATGTAGGGATAGCTGCTATAGCTACTATCAGAATGTATTATCATCATCTATCATCATGAATCGATCATGACTGTCGCCATTAGCTAGTCATTAGCTATTCTTAGTCACGCTGCTACAAGTACCATTTCGATCTGCCAGAGTTTCCGTAGATTTCGGGACAACTTCCTCGACATTTTGGTCATGAGAATTCTGGGATCGACAGATACAGCTTGCCAATCTAATTGGTGGTATACCTATCCCCCTGAAAAATATGAGTTCGTCAGATTGGATCATCATCCCAACTATTGGGGAAAATAAAAAATGTTCCGAACCACCAACCAGCAATGCTTGCCAATCGTAACCACTCCGCAGCACAAATCCTGGTGCCAGCACTTTTGTGCGGCCCAGCATATTTTGGGTCGAGGCGTTCATCCAAAGTTTCTGCAGGGCAACAGGAGAAGCTTGGCAAACAGGAGTACAGGTAGATCAACTTCAAGCATACCAAGTAGGAAAGCCCGTTGAGTATTGAAATTCGGAGTATTGAAATTGGATGAGATTGGGATGTCAATGCATGCTCTATCTGTTCGTATATGAAGATATCCAAACGTTATCATTGTACCACTGAAGAATAGGTTCCCAAGTTGACTTCCCCAACTTGTTGTTGCTGAAGGCACCAAAGTCACTCCCCCAATTGCTCTGTTGCAGGAAGAAATCCACGAGGAGCTTCCTTCACCACTGGAATAAGAGCTTCACAGATCAGTTCGACTTTGGAGCTGAAAGCGAGACTTATATAAAAACCTGATGAGTCAGTTTGGATAGCAACAACTAGCCGGAACTCAAGGTGAAATGATGACTTGTTATTCTCCAAATATGCGAGCGGAGGCTACCTGTTCGAAGCCTGAGAATTCATGCCAAAGTCATGCCAAAGTCATGCCAAAGTCATGCCAAAGTCATGCCAAAGTCATGCCAAAGTCATGCGAGGAGTCGTTCTTGCATCATGTCGAAATTCATCCCCCCAAAAAAACAGAAGGATTTTCCCAAGAAATGCCTGTGAAATAAACACCAAAAAAACACCTCAACAAAGATGAAAGAACAAAGCTGGGGACCATCCATGTTTGTTCACCTTAACGACACCAATTTCAATTCATCACTTTTTGGGAGTGACCCACCGATTAAAGAAACGTCTGAACTTGCAGCAAACCCCTCGAACCTCTACTTTAGTATCTGTTTGTCTTGGGGGCATAGGGAAAACAATTTGGGGAATGATCATCAACTATAGAAGTTTATCCGCGAATACATTGCCACCTCTACAATTCCATGTACATATATATATAATCCCAAATCGTGTTTAAGCTTAAATTACCTTCAATCCCCTCATGATATGTCAATGCTCATCATTGCCCTCTGTCTATATATATATATTATATATATATTATATATATATATATATTATATATCTATATATTATATATATATATATTATATATAAAGGGGATAATTGTGTATCCCCCAGGCTGAGGTTTCACACTACCAGGTATCTTTCAGTCAGCTCAGTCCAACGATCCGTGACGCGGCACGCGGTGACTTTCCGGGCGCTTCGCTGAAATCGGTCCCTTCCGGGCGGTTCGCTCAAACGACCGACGTGCCTCTCCTGGCGGGTCGAAATCTGGTAACAGTCTGGACTAGGTAGTAACAAGCAGAGAAAAGGTACAGTAACCATAGTAACCCAACAATAAAATAAAGTAAGTCATTGAACGATTTTTTTTATAACTTATAGTTTTATATAGTGTGCTCGTAGGAGCTTGCTGTTCTATGCTGTTCTTGAATTCGTGTACAGTAATTATTGCTCGTTTCAATGGTTTGCAGTATAAGTAGCACGAGCCCCTATCTTCAGAGTTTATATTATCCTCAACCGCATAATAATATGTATATAATACACGATATATAAGATGCATACATATGTCATATATAATTATATACACATATTCTATGATTCTACCCATATTATATATATATAATCATAAATATATATATATAACATTATGATATATACAAATAAGAGTATAGAGATACCCATGCCCCATCTTGTGATCATCTCACTATCTCACCAGGATCCCAGAGCCTCATTTGACTTGATCGTACCTCAAGGGGTTTTCCGAAAATCCACCGGGGCATCAAAAAAGGCCAGTCATCTGGTTGAATCCAACAAAAAAAAAAACAATTCCGCGACTGTCAGAGAATCCCAATGAATTTACGAAACAAGGTTTATTTTTTCATTTGGCGGATCTTTTTCGGAAGGAAAGGTTTCATATATAAGGTCATCAAGTATAAAGCTTTCCTATGGAATTGCCCTTCACTTCCAACTTCCGGGATAAATCTGCTGAGATTTCCAGCCTCAAAGCAATGGGTGAATCATCATCATTTGGACACGTATCCCTCTAAAAAAATGGTCAATCAAAGCACAAGCCTTACATATACGTGTATATATAATATTATATAATCCCTGCCTAAGTGTATCATTTTTTGAGTTTCAAATAGCTTGAAACACTTCGGCCGGTTCTCATCAAAAGGTCCTTGGCTTTGCCAACTTGGGATTGCTCCTGATGGGTTTCTGAGAATGCCGCGACACCGGTGGTGCCACCAAGTTGCACGATATTTGCCACTAGAAACCTCAGCCCGCCGGGAAGCCGGGCCCCGAAACCCCCTGCCGAAACGAGCGATGGGTGCCATCAGTCACAGCCCGTTAACGCCACCAAGTTGCAGAACCCAAAGGAACAAACAAATCATACTATCTCTCCTGCCAGCCACATGTCGCCACATGTCACATATGTCACCATTTGGAGGTTTTCTAGCCATGAGGCTACCCCACTAGCTGAATGGTGTGTAATAAAAACATATAAAAACCATGGGAAACCTCCATTTGGAAAGCCATGCACATCGAAAAACATGGGCCGTCCATCGGAACATCCTCGGCCAAATGAACCACAGTTCTAGTACAAGACCCCAAGTGTACAAAATGATCCAATTTGGGGACCAGTTTGATTCTGACGCTATGCACCTCACATTTTACAAAAATCAGATCCCTTCTGCCGAACCAAGTACTTGTACTTAGTAGCTGAGTTCATCGCTCCTTGCTAATGCTTGAACAAAACTTTCAAAGATTCAAAGATGCGAAAGAGAATTGACTAGATTCCTTGTGGAAACAGCCAGTGGTGGTTTGTCCCAATCACACTTCGCGAAATGACGATGAAAACCACGGCATGAAATCACCGGCTCCTCTGCGCAGGTTTGGGTCCACCCAACTCTCCACCATAAATTTGACGTCGGGTGAAGAGCCTGGAGGGTCGGGGGCCGTGTAGATCCATGTCACCGCTATGTTGATCCAATCGTGGTGGAAAATCCAAGAAGATCATCCATGTCTTCCGTTTGCAACTGATGTGCCTTTGAAGATTGAGGATTTTCAGGACTTTCCGAGGGATGGAGAGTTGTCTACTAAGTATTTAACACTACGAACACGACAATGTGGTTCCAGTCACTTGAAGTAAAACTGATGCCAGGTGATACAGGCTCTTGTTGTATTTCCTCGTTAAAGAGCAGTCGTTGATGGTCAATGTTTGCTGTTTATGGAGGAAATAGATTCATGAACCCATCGATTCGAAGGAACTGATTGCCACGTATACAAAAAAATCAAGACTGACTGTGTGTTTCTCCTGTACTCCTGAGAAAGGGGGGAAGTTTCCCCCCATGGACCGAAGTTACCCATCACTGAACTCTTGTGAAACTACAGCCAAACTATGTTTGGGACCTATCTTCAGCACTCATCTTGTCACACTTGACGCTAGTCACCTTGTTGAAGACATGACCAGAACATTCAGAAGAAGTCCAAAGTCCACACCGCACTGACCTTCGAAAAAGAAACAAATACGGAGAGATATGATCCCTTGGATCATCTTCAATCTATTTAAATCTACACATTTCTAGCTGTTCAAAATGGTGGTTCAAACTGTTTGTTTCATCCTCTTCCTCGGAACCAAAACTCCTTCTAAGAACCAAATGTGGCACTCCATTTAGGATCGATTGGTCGGCGAAATCACCAATTTTTCTGGGCGATTGGTTCCCATTGTTCCTCGAAAAAAATGCACAGTTTCGTGGGTGAAATAACCATGTCTTTTGGTTGGATTCGCGTGTTTTTTGCATGAATTCCCAGGTTCGATTCCGGGTGTTTTGTTGGTTCAATTGCCATTATCTTTGGACCCTCTAAACCCAAATTCTGCTATAGTTCAATTCCTATAGATAGGTAGCTTCAATTCCCAGTTTTTTCGTGGCTTCCAGTGTTCTTGGTGCAAAATCCTCATAGAAGTCTTCTTCAAAATAGCAAACTGTTCCGGAAAAAAAAAAAACAGATTTGCTAAACATCAAACATTGAAGTTTCCGAAACATCAACGCCCCAATTAAAAACTTGGTGAATTTTCGCTCAGAGCACAGGGCCACGCAGAGCATGGCAAGGACCGAGAAGGCGGTCACGGAGAAGGAAATGGCGCCTTCCGCGGAAAGAGACTTACTAAGTGGGATGAGCCACCAAGTACATTTATACAATGTGCTAGACCATCAATGCACACCCAAATGGGGATAGACGGGTCAATCTCATGGCTAATATTGAGGAATCATGAGACAGACATTATTTTTTTAACGGGGACAGACAAATTGTGATGTGGATTTTTTTGGAGTCATTTACAAATGATCCAGATCAAAAATCCGTCCGCATCAGGCTCTGCCCGAATCCCAGAATGGCGGCGGCCTCCGACGACAATAAATCCTCCTTCAGGATTGTCCTTCAAGTACAACCTCAGTGTTCTCCGAAAGAAGCCGATAGGAAGCAAAAACAACAGCAATTCACCCAATTTGAAGGCCCAATGGAGAAAAGCTGACGGTAAACATATGTAAATATTGAGATGTTGGGGGTGCCCCATTTTAAATGGACATCAAAATGAAGCCTTGATTTTCCACCATGTTTTGTTTCTCTCATGTCCACCAATTTTGGTGCAAGCTCTAACATTTGGGCAGCGGTTGGATCAAGTTTCCTTCATGTATGTTGTGTTCATTTTCTCCGCTCATATCCATGTCCATCGCTCCGCTCTCGTTAAAAAAACTGGTTCCTTCACCTTTGTCATCTCCTATGACAGTTTTCGCAAAATCTATGTACCCTCTGGTTATTTAACATAGCCATGGAAAATGGCCCATTTATAGATGATTTTCCCATTAAAACCTCCATTTATAAGGGATTTTCCATGGCTAATGTTAAATAACCAGATGGTATCCCCTGCGGAAGTTGCCTTGCGAAACGGACAGAACACAAAGGCTCCGACTGCTCATAGCTCCCTTGTGCAGTCTGGTAGTTTCTCCACTCCTCGAGCCATGCAGCAAAAAATCCTTCGAAGAAAATGACAAGACTATCCAATGACAAATATTATATATATATATACAGTGCATCCCTAAGAAAATCAATAAACTATCATCAAAACAGTTCGGAATCATTTGTTCTAATCCCTTAAACCATTTATCTAGTTCGACCTCGACCACGGCGCCGTAAATTTCTTCGCCAAGCGTCGTCCGTGACCCCCTGAGTGGCCCAATAGATGGAGCCTAAGGTCCAGCTGATTCCCATTCCCAGCAGGACATTCACAGTATTGCCTCGGCGACACGCCGAAACCAAGGAGTTGGGTGGAATACCCGGCCTGGTAAACATACCAAAAACTGATGGGAAAGATCCCCCATGCTAATTTTTCATGGGTAGTCATCCACTATTTCGACTGGGCCATGCTATCAATGTCGCAAACTGTTTGTTTACTAGAGGCTATAGATGATTTTTGGGGGAATATCTCTCCATGAAAACGGGGCCGTATGGCTGCCACGGCTCAGAATTAGCAAAAGCCCCCAGAGTTGGATAGTCATCTACCAACAATGACCATTTTGCAGTAGCATCTGGTAAACTAACATAACTATGGAAAATCACCATTTTTAATGGGAAAATCCACTATAAATAGCAATGTTCAATAGCTATGTTAAATTACCAGAGGGTAGTTGAAATACTTAGGCAGACTAAACCTATTGCGGCTTCTTCTTGCACTTCTTATCATTAAACATTCGAAAAGGATATAGATGTTCCAAATGATTCGATTTGTTGTCAAATATCGTCACTGATATTCACAGTGTTATATCAACATTACCATCTGGTTATGACTAACAGTTTGCCATGGAAAATCCTCATTTTTAATAGGTAAACCATCTATTTCTATGGGCCATCTATACCATGGCTATGTTAAATAACCAGAGGGTATATCATTAAATTTCACTACATCCCATTAAACCCCATTAAGTCTCATTAAACCTCCATTAAACCTCCATTAAACCTCCATTAAACCTCCATTAAACCTCCATTAAACCCATATATTTATTTAACTGTAGCCCCAGCCAAGCAGCTTCCAGTGATGTTGCCAATGGAATTGTCCGCAGTATCATCTGCCATGGCGGCAGTTCGGGAGGCCAAAGTGTCCTCAAAAAAACGACACGCCCTGGATTGAAAAAAAATGCAGAAATGATGGATTTATAAATTCTTATAGTGATTCAGAACCTTTATGGTTTATATATATATGATTATAGATGTTTATATAGCTGTTTATAGATGTTGATTGTAGTCATAGATGTTTATGCATAGATGTTTAGATATTATAGACGTTTACAGTGATTCAGAAACTTGAAATGAAACCATTTTGGGGGGATACCTCCCCTTGACAACCGTATCCAACCACCATTCACAGTGAGGTTGGCCAGTGCCAGGGACAAGGGGGGATTCGCCAGTCTCAGAAGAAACTCTTCTCAGTTCGGTTTTTTCGGAAAATGTCACAGGAAAGCCCTATTATTTCATAGGGGAAATCTAGAAAATAGGGGTTTCCCAAAACCCCTATACCCCTCAGATCAATGGATCAATGGATCCATAATTTCTTGATATTTCTTGTAGATTTTCCCAAAACCGATCCATTGATCTTCCAGTGATCTGCCCAGTTTAAAAGCTGCGCCAAGGCGCAGGTAGACTGGTTCCCAGCGCCACCAACGTAATGGCCGTCAAGTCATCTGCCAGTCCCACTGAACAGCCCAGGAGGCTGGCTGCGTCGTTGATCACCTGAGGTCAGGCCATAGGGATGGGATACCCCACTAGCTGGATGATGGTGCCTCCCATGACTTAGGAAACCTACGTTTGGGACCCCAATGTTTGGGACCCCCCAATTTTTCACAGATTCAGGACATTCCAAGAGGGGCAACCCGGTTGGGGAGGATTTGATGGGGACGGGGGAAGGGATTTGATGAGTGAGTTTGATGTTTTTTTCCTAATCAAGGCTTGATGATTCGCTTCTCAAGGCCAAACAAAATCAGTAGACATCATTCAACTACATCAGTTAAACATCATTAAACATCATTAAGCCATGACCATATGTGAAACCATTTTAAAAAAAAATGATGTCCCCATCTTTCAAGAACATCCGTGTCTCGACATCTTTTTGCGACCATCTCTGAGGGCCCCCCACCACGGTGACCAAGCCGATTCCGAAGAGGGAGCAGAAGAAGGAAGGATAAGCTGACAATAAAGATGGAGGTGGAACCTCAGGTGGAAGCTCAACTTGATGACAATCTGTAACCCAAATTGCTTAACTTAAGGTTTCACCCGACTTCATATGAAAACCAGTGAATGGGGGGCTCCTTGATACATAAATTGTGGCCTGAATTTGCAGTTAAAATGGGTTGAAAGCGATTGAACTCCCACGGTTCATCAGCTCTGTCTTGGGTTTCCAACAATCACAGCGCAGCTGCACACACATTAAAAAAAAACACTACACCCTTAAACATGTTTCACAATTCTAGGCACCCAAAACCATCATCTGGGGAACCAAAAAAAACAACATCTTTTATAAATGTCTCCTTTTAAACGACGGATCGGTCCCATAGCCTCAACTGGCTCCCGCATTGACGAATCGCTTGGGGTCTGGTGGTTCCCCGGTTTCTCGATTGGAACAGGTAACGATGAGGAAGATGATTTTCCAGGTGAGCGCTAGGCAGTGCATCAGCCAATCAAAGGCTGTAGCTTCCGCTTGCCTTATCATCGCAGGATCCCCAATGTCATGGCTGACTGTGCATGAGATTCGGCTAGACAGGTATTTGTGGATCCATCATTTCGGCCAGAAAATGCTGAGAGATTACCGTCTTCATCTGTTTTTGGGGGAACTTGTTTTTTGTTACTGATCAAAACTAGAAAAGGAAATCTCCATCCCCATAGGGTTCAATATCCCACTCAGCAGTTTTTTTTGGTAAAAGAAATATGGTGTCAGCGAATCATTCAAGGAATTCCCATTAAGATAGCCATAAAATTATGCAGATCCAACCCATGGCAACAGACACACCCAAAAATATCACTTATCGTAAATGCGGTTGGTGATATAACTACATATTCCCATATCTTATGCCATATCTTATTCCATACTATATGCCACGATATCCCCATTAAAAACCCCCATTTTTCATGGAGGCGAAGCCCCAACTGGTCCATTTCTGGTGAAGCCCCATGGGCCCATGGGGGGCTTCCCCGAAAAACCGAGCGACTCCTCTGGACTTCCATTGCAATAGAAGGCTTCAATGACCTCATCTCCCAACTACGACGTTTTCTCCAAATGTCCTTCTTCTAGTTTGGTTGTTAAATCAACATAAATTGTGTTTTTCCAATTTTAGTGCCGCAACCCTGGTTTGGTCTTTTCAAAAGTCCTCTTTTAAACAGCCTGGAACCCTGCATTTATCTTTCATATTTCTTAAATTGTACCTAAAACCTGCACAAAAAAAGCCGCTGCTAGGTGGAACTGGAAGAACTTTCCAACATCTGCAGAGCTTGTCGTTGCCTTTGCTGCAGAGCCTTTGTGAAAATGACAGGATAAACTATTCTCTGGGAGTGACTGGGTAAAATTACGTACAAATTCACAAAATTGAAGGAAAATGGTTGAGCGGCACAGAAATTCAGTGCGAAATGCTGCATCTCAACTTTTCATGTGATCTGCTGCGAAGAGTGCTAGGAACAATCTTTGGACTTGGCTTCAAGGAAGAGATTCTATTGACGTATCCTACGAAGAACACATGTTGAAATGAGAAGCCTTCAGGAACACATAGTTTATTAATCTTTGAACATGGATGGGACAAAAGCTAGCGCAAACCTAGCGGGTTTGCTAGCGCTGCCTGGCAGAATTGGTGAATTTAGTTGCATGCCACCTCACAACGAAGAGGAAAAACCGTTAGATCCACATGAATTATCAACCACTGGTGCAAAAAAACGGATTGGTGAATTTCCGGCAAACCATCCATGGGGTACCCCCAGTCATCCAATCGTCATAGCCATGAATTAACTATTGCAACAAGCTGCAGGTGACGACTGGGGATCCCCCATAAGAAACATCCTTTTGGGATGACAACTGGGACAAGTCTAGACCCTGCCATTTTTAGGGGTTGAAAGATGAGTTTCCACTAAAAATGTGTGATAAAATCAGGGTCCAACTCTGAATTTACCAGAGGGTAATAGCTTGTCAAATCAGAAACACCCATCTGAATCATCTGATTTCTGAAACTGTCGAATCCCTTCCAGCCTTGTCCCTCCAATGCTCACAGCTAAAATCTTCGTCGCCTGCCGGTCACGGGGGACCCCCCATCACAGTCAGCTGGGGGCATCTTCCTCAAATGGGGAGTGACACCGCAGGGCGTGGGATTTGGTAAAGATTCCATTTTGATGATGTTTTTCTGCACACATGGAATCTTGTTGTTTTTATACATACTATACATATAAACACCAATATTTGGTAGATTTAAATCTTGTTTTTTTTCACACATGTTTCCTCAAGAAGAGATATCTCCAGTGTTCCACTGCAGGAAGTGTCACCTTTCATCCCAGAAACTCAGACAATTCCCCCACCCTCGAGTGGAGTATAGTCTATGATGAGCCACCAAACTCATCAACGTGGGAATGGCTGCGTTACGTTAAAAACCACATCAGTTCTAGTGTTCAAAACCCTCTGTCTTGTCTTCCCTTTATTTTTTTTCTGATTTCCCAGTTTAGGGATTGTGATAATCCCCAATATACTAGCGACCAAGAAGGTGCCGAAATGAAAAATCCGAACCTAGAAATAGCCATGAATCACATTTCTATCTTCTTGGGGGTTACTTCTTTGGAGTATAACACCCTATAATTATATATCAATAAAGAGTATAATTTTGGTGGTATATGTATACTTCAATTATGATTATTCAACACAATGATAATTGCATCTCAACTATAAATAGTATATAGTTTCTTGATAATATTATACTAGCCGTAATTATGATTATAGTTGTATCATCAATAAATCCTCAATGTATAATATAGTTGTATAATCAATAAATCATCATGATTATAGTTGAATAATTTTAGTTATTTATATAATCCTGATTCTTACTGGTGCGTTTTACGCAGGGAATTTTTGGGAATGATCCCAGTCATCACTAGTAATAATAATCCCAGCAACCCATCCAGCAACCCTACGTAAAACGCACCAGTAAGGATCAACGCCATCAACGTGCCTTCGAAGGCTTCGGATTTGGCGTCCGAGCGCGCTTCCGAGCGTGCATCCGTCTTGGCGTCGGATCTAATCGACTTCTCCTTGGGAGGTGAAAAATCCATGGGAGGAGATATCCTCCTAATGTCCTGGGTTTAGGTCATCTGGTTTTAACATGTTTTAACATGTTTTAACATGTTTTAACATGTTTTAACCATCTTGAAAAATATGAGTTCGTCAAATGGGATGATGACATTGCCAATATATGGGAAAATAAAAAATGTTCCAAACCACCAACCAGTCATTTATGTCATTTAATAGGTTATATAAGTTATATACCCAGATATCTAAAACACACCACTGCCCAAGTATGAATCTGTCCTGATTTAAAAGTTCCCTCAAAGGCATTTTAGAGCGGATCTCATATAGCTATCATGGCTTGGTTAACCATAGAAGATGCTTAACCATCATAAATTTGCCATATAATGGGAATATCATAAGAATATAATTTGCAATATAATTGGATTTTCATGGGGGTTAACCAACATTTCATGGGTTTCAAAGGGGGATATCATGGGAAAAATGTCCCACTTACTATCGGTTGACACACATAACTCACTTGGTGACTTCTACATGGGGGAGATCACAAACTCTGAAAATGGAGGAAGAACCCCCCGTTTCTTAAATGATGAAAAATTTCATGGACCTGATGATCAACCAGTGAAATGGCATCCGAAAAAAACAGATAAACCCATATGGATCCATATGCATTACCTGGGCAGCCGAATCCTTGCTTTTCGAATTCGTTGATGACCAGTTTGGGATGATTTCCCATATAAAACACATCATTTATGATGAGGTAGGCCAGATATGGCCAGATCGCGAAAAATTTATAAAGAGGCGAATCTTCAATACCCTGCAATTTATGTGGATCTAATCAACCAAAATGGGATGAAAATCTTAGATGACAACCACAAAAAGTATAGGGATATTGCCTACAAAAATGGAGATCATGGAGATATGGATCAACAATCACATAGGGCTCATCTGAAAGACAACTTGTTTATTACGAACTCGTTAATCTTTACCACCCTGTATCAACAAACATAATGGGTTTACCATCAAAAATGAGAACCTAACCAACAAGAAAGATGATCAACCCACCAAAAATGGTGCCAAACCCAATGTGGATCTAGCAAGATTGGGTCCAAATGCCCCATCAACATGAACAAATCCGGCACACAAAGGTCTCTGTAGGGATTAATTACCTGGCTTCAAGGGGGCTAAAATGTGTTTACATGAATCATATTGGGTTCAAGCTGGTCTAGTATGCGTTGTTGAGATGGGTTAGAATGGGATCACATGTGTCAAATTTGGATCATTAGCGGGGTAAACACCCAGTTTTGACTGGTGTGAGCCATACGAGTTCCTTCCCTTTTTCATCTCCGTGGAGGTGTTCTCCCACACGAAAAACCGTCGCCGCAGCGGTAAAGCTCTGGTAGAAACCCTCGTGAAATGTTAGTTGCAACCCCAGCTACATTCGGATAAGGATAGGTCCATGGGACAGCTATGACAGGGTACGACCGGGGATGCTCAGAGATTACCCACAAAATACTTCCTGCTGCGGGTACAGGCTCCTTCCTACCAGCACAATAGATATGGATGGGAATCTTGTTGAGTAGAAACAGTGGGGAAATCCAAAAACAAAACTGCTTGGCGGTTTTCAACTCATCCCAAGAATTTGAAGGTTAAGTGAGATGGTCATGATAATCATGCCAAAAAATTGAACCCACCAACACATCCCTCATTTTTTCTGGTTTTCCAAGGGGATTGCTCCACATCCCCTATCAAACCATTTCAAACATTCACCAAATTGTCTGCCCATGTATGTATCCCAAACTCCCATCATTTTAGGACAAACCATTCAGAGATTAGATAGGTAGAGAGAGAGAGAGAGAGTTCCATCAATCTCCAAAAAATATTCATGTCTACATGTATAGCAATCCATTATCTGGCATTTTCCATGGCAAAACCCATGAATTTTCCACGCATTAGATCGCAGCATGGCCATATAATCAATACGAATCTTCCCGTGCATGGCTTGCGCCCGTTTTTGCCCATCTCACTACCCTTTTCGTTTTTGTCCCACATTAATGTCGGTGTATCTTCGCCATGGCAACTGCTATGTCTTTCCATATGTATAATATATAACATACGACAGAAATATGTTGCATTTCCATGTTACATATATATATATACACATATTTATATATATATATTATATATATATGTATGTGTGTGTAATTTATGATACAATGATAATTCACCAAAACCTAGATGATTTCCCTAAAATAAACCATGGATTTCTCTAACTTCGGGAGGCTTCGGGAGGCTTTTCATCCGCCAGGTCTCAGAGCGCACTTTGGAGATGGCCTGGGAGGACATGGGAGCTTCGGCTTCGCCTCGGCAGAGAGGCTACATCCAAATATCACATTAACATGTATAGATATATATATATATATGTATATATATATATATGGCTATGGATCAATACCTATTAATACAATTTTTAGTGGGATGAACATCCGTTTACCAGCTATTTTGATGTGAACTACAGGGGTACAAGGTTTTGACACACTGCCATGTATGTATAATTGTATAAATATATATATATATCGTATCATATCTTATGTACAGGGAGAATCATCCCATGATGGTCTTTCTGCGTAGCAGGGATACAGTAAATTACAGCCAAACAGTGTAAAACAGTGGTGACCAGATGATGGTGACAAAATATAACAGACAAAAATCATTCCAACAACATATTCCAACATGCACTGTCCATTGGATCCCAAACACATATAAACACATGCTACTAAGGCCAGAACTCGGCACCGCCTGTAAGTGTTGCCGAGCCTGGCATCGACAGAAAGCATCTGGAAACTTCACAGCAATGGTACACTGGGTGGTGATTGAACCACCTATCCCAAAAATAGATGAAAATCATTCTTGGATCATCATCCAAAATAAGGGGGCAAACAAAAATAGTGGTATTTGAAACCGCCAACCAGTAAGTAGGTGATAGTTGCTGGCGCTTAAGTGCTGTTTCCTATCTTATAGTTGAAGGATATGTTAACTGACGCTCAACAATCTGAATCAAGGCCTTTAGGTCTCCGAAAGGTCTGTTTTTGGCGCTCAGCCCAAATCCAACAGGTTGGAGGTCCCCGCTACAAATACCAATGAAGCTGTCTGACATGCAATGACTGTGTGGCATGCGAGCTAAGTGCGGACTGCTACCTATCTGCGCGGCACCCGGTGGGCCTTGTCCGATTCGGTCCCTGGCACAGAAAACTCTGGCGCATCATCATCATCATCATCATCATCATCATCATCATCGTTTTTTTCTGATAATCCTGGTGAATAATTTATCATCATGAATCATGATCATTCATGATAAATCCTGGTGATGGATCATGTTGAATCATGATGAATCGTGACCATGTCTCAACGGCACTGTCCCACTTCGCTACAGGCCCTTGCCGCACTGGGCCTCCGTCCATCACCAGCGTCGTTTTGAACTCATCGTTCACGTCTGGCCAGGCATCGTGTCGGGATTGGTCCATATGGATGTGGTTCAAAAATGGACCTGTTGCACCACTTTGCCAGGAAACGAACCTCTCGTAACTCCTTGGCTCTCCATTTTTTGTGGGGAATATGGATACCATCTATATCAACAAAAGGAATACCCGGAAGTGATAGCAATGTGAAATTGCTAAAATGAGCTTCGTCACCCATGTTTTTTTGGGGGTACCCGTCTAAGATCAAGACGTGCCCCATGACATGCGTTCGCCAAGATGCCTGAATTGCAGTCCTTGGCACCGCAGCTCGCTCATGCGGTTTTCAGAGCGTTTTCACAGCTAAGTTGCAGCGAAGAATGATGAAATGGCGATGGCAACCGAACATGGGGTACCGAAGGCAAATGGCTGGATATTTGAGTAATCAATCCAATCAATCATCCATTCAGGGAGAAACACACCGGTCCCACTTCACTTTTTTCCAGGTGTTCCTCCCAGTTTTTCAATTTTTCGCCCCCTTCCTGGTCTGCCAAGAGTCATCCGGAATGGAGTCCGAAACGAGCCAAACCAAGCCTTGCTCGAACCCTTTGGATCTCTGGATCAGAGGACTCGCAGCTATTTTTACCCAAGCATGTTGGAAGGGCTTGTGATCCAGTGATCATTGGATCCTTTTTATAGGGATCAATCAATGGGTCCTTTTCCCCATCACATCATACATACGGTGGGTGGAAGAAATCCTGCACCACCTTGGATGGTTGAAACCCTATAAATAATGGGATAAACCACCTATCAACTGGTGCAGGATTTCTTCCATCCACAGTATCATCGAAAACCGAAGAACTTTGAAGTCTACCGACCGAAGAACATCCCAGTGATCGTTTTTCACTGGGCGCAAATCAGGGATAGGTGGTGACTACCCAGCCCCATCTTTTTTCAAGTTGTGGGCCAGCAACAACCTCCCCAATCCAGCGGCCACGCGGCCAACGAATAAAGACCTCAAAATCTGATCTCATCCGAACAGTATCGAACAGTATCCAAGACCCTATCTGGGTAATGAGGGAATACCAAATTGCTTCCCATGTTTTTTATTGAAAATTCGGGTGTCCCCTCACGTTTCAACAGGCTAAAACGAGGCTTTCGGGTCCCAGGTGCAGCAAGTCGTGGCGCCCAAAAGCGGAGGATTCTTCTTGCCCTCGACCCCTTCGGCTTGGATCCTGGGGAGTTCCTTCCGTTCCAAAAACCACGGAAACAATTTGGTAGGAAACAAAGGTAGGATATGAATTCTATACCACACATGTATTTATATGCTATATTATTATATATGTTATATTACTGGATATATATGCATAACATTTATTATCATTTATTTATATATTATATTATTATATATGTTATACTACTGGATATATATATATAACATTTATTATCATTTATGTATATATTATATTATTATATATGTTATACTACTGGATATATATATATATAACATTTATTATCATTTATGTATATATTATATTATTATATATGTTATATTACTGGATATATATATAACATTTATTATCATTTATGTATATATTATATTATTATATATGTTATATTACTGGATATATATATATAACATTTATTATCATTTATTTATATATTATATTATTATATATGTTATACTACCGGATATATATATATATAACATTTATTATCATTTATGTATATATTATATTATTATATATGTTATACTACTGGATATATATATATATAACATTTATTATCATTTATGTGTATATTATATTATTATATATGTTATACTACTGGATATATATATATATATAACATGTATTATCATTTATGTATATATTATATTATTATATATGTTATACTACTATATATATATATAACATTTATTATCATTTATGTATATATTATATTATTATATATGTTATACTACCGGATATATATATATATAACATTTATTATCATTTATGTATATATTATATTATTATATATGTTATACTACCGGATATATATATATATATAACATTTGTTATCATTTATGTATATATTATATTATTATATATGTTATACTACTGGATATATATATATAACATTTATTATCATTTATGTATATATTATATTATTATATATGTTATACTACTGGATATATATATATATATAACATTTATTATCATTTATGTATATATTATATTATTATATATGTTATACTACTGGATATATATATATATATAACATTTATTATCATTTATGTATATATTATATTATTATATATTTTATACTACTGGATATATATATATATAACATTTATTATCATTTATGTATATATTATATTATTATATATGTTATACTACTGGATATATATATATAACATTTATTATCATTTATGTATATATTATATTATTATATATGTTATACTACTGGATATATATATATAACATTTATTATCATTTATGTGTATATTATATTATTATATATGTTATACTACTGGATATATATATATAACATTTATTATCATTTATGTATATATTATATTATTATATATGTTATACTACTGGATATATTATATATATTAAACATTATTATCATTTATGTATAATTTATTAGTATATATTTTATACGACTAATATATTTATATAACATTTATTATCATTATGTATATATTATCTTATTATATATTTTATACTACGGATATATAATACAGAACATTTATTATTTATGTATATATTAATTATTTATAATTGTATACTACCGATATTATAATATACTATAAACATTTGTATCATTTATGTAAATATATTATATTATTATATTGTTCTACTACTGGATATATAGCTATAAACATTTATTAGTCATTTGAGTGTTATATATTATTTATTATATATGTTTACTACGACTGGATATATATATATAACCTTTATTATCATTTATGTACATATTATATTATTATATATGTTATACTACTGGATATATATATATATAACATTTATTATCATTTATGTATATATTATATTATTATATATGTTTTACTACTGGATATATATATATATATATAACATTTATTATCATTTATGTATATATTATATTATTATATATGTTATACTACTGGATATATATATATATATAACATTTATTATCATTTATGTATATGTTATATTATTATATATGTTATACTACTGGATATATATATATATAACATTTATTATCATTTATGTATATATTATATTATTATATATGTTATACTACTGGATATATATATATATATAACATTTATTATCATTTATGTATATATTATATTATTATATATGTTATACTACTGGATATATATATAACATTTATTATCATTTATGTATATATTATATTATTATATATGTTATACTACTGGATATATATATATAACATTTATTATCATTTATGTATATATTATATTATTATATATGTTATACTACTGGATATATATATATAACATTTATTATCATTTATGTATATATTATATTATTATATATGTTATACTACTGGATATATATATATATAACATTTATTATCATTTATGTATATATTATATTATTATATATGTTATACTACTGGATATATATATATATATAACATTCATTTATTTATATTATATATATAGTATATGATTCGATATGAATATAATATATACGATAGATCGGGATCTCCCTTAAGAATCACTCGGATCCACGTGGAGTCATGGGGAGACTATGGGTGGGATGACCATTTATACAAGCCTCAAGATATGGGGATGAGTCAAAACCCTGGTACCCCTGGTGAACCCCAAGTCATAGCTGGGATTTATGGATGTTCATCCCACTAAAAATGTATCTATAGGTATTGACCCATACCCATATCGGTTTGCTTGTCCTTTCTTGAATCCAACTTTGGAAGCTACTGTTATGTTTTTCTTGTATCTGGATGGCGGTTTCAAATGGTTTCAGCATATTCTGAACTCAGTCAATTCGGAGATATCTGTCCAAGTTGGGATGGAAAAGATGGTTTAAACCACCAACCACTTGTTGGTGTTGTTTGCATCCCTATGTTTCCTGTCTGTGAATTCTGCGCTGTTTGTTAATTATATAGTCCCATTTTGGAAGCCCCCAAAGTTGCCAAGAATCAATGTGCTGTTCGCTTTACTACTGTGCCTTGATGTGAAAAACACGTTTGTTGCAAAAAAAACACCCAGGCCACGATGAATAGCTGATGTTGGACGTTCATCCCGTATGTTTCCTGCGTTGGACCTCCTTTTTCTGGCTAAATAATCCCTATCAGTAATTTTTATTCTTGGACAAGTCTCGATTTCTTCATAGAATTGCCATGTTTCTGAGTCGCATCCCCCTTTCCCATCTTTCCCATCGATTTGTTTCAAGGAATACAAACCCAGAATACCCCAGAAACAACTTCCGAATAAATGATATTCCCCAGAATAACCCGGATTTATAGATGACTTTCCCAGAATACCCCAGAAACAACTTCATAAATGACTTTCCCCAGAATAACCCGGATTTATAGATGACTTTCCCAGAATACCCCAGAAACAACTTCATAAATGATATTCCCCAGATTAACCTGGATTTATAGATGATTTTCCCAGAATACCCCAGAAACAACTTCATAAATGATATTCCCCAGAATAACCCGGATTTATAGATGATTTTCCCAGAATACCCCAGAAATTAATCATCTATAAATCATCTATAAATGATAAATAATGGGTATTCAGAATACCCATTTATAATTGATTACCCTCTGGTAATTTAACATAGCTATGGAAAATCACCATTTTCAATGGGTAAATCAACTATTTCTATGGCCATTTTCAATAGCTATGTTAAATTACCGGAGGGTATTCAGAATACAACCCAGAATACAACCCATAATAATGGGTATTCATCTATAAATCATCTATAAATCATTTATAAATCATTTATAAATCATTTATAAACCCCAAACCCTGAATAAAAACCAAGGCACTCAGTGAGCTCCACATAGAATTCTTCTGGAGGTCCATGAAGGTCCAGTAAGCCAATCCTAAGGAGTCCCATCCCGGCGATCTAACTACATTCTGGTAACGCGGCAATTGAAAATCCTGGTTTTAATATGTTTTAATATGTTTTAATATGTTTTAATATTTTTTAATATGTTTTAATATGTTTTAATATGTTTTAATATGTTTGAATATGTTTGAATATGTTTTAATGGAAAGTTTATTGGGAAAATCATCTATAAATCCTGGGAGTGTCTGTTTAATCAGCCACGAGCTTCGATTTTGACTGACAACAGAACAATCGATAGCAGGAACTTCACCAACCACCAGTGGGGATCTCAACAAAGCTGTCATCCACTCCACACGGGGACAAGAAACGTGAGCTCTTGCTTGTCATCATCTGGCAGAAAATGCAGCACGCCCGATTTCTGATGGTACCTCGCTGCGTGATAAAAAACAAAGGTCATCCATATTTCCATGGAATTTTTCATCAAAAACTGGAGATTCGAATCTCATGAATTCTATCACCATCAAATCCCACGAATTCACCATGAAATTACCCTGAAAATCCGAGCAAGGCACCTTTCGCCAGCTTTGGCCATGCCATTTCTGGTGCGATATTTGATCCGTACCTGGCGATAGTTCTCCGATAAGCTGTGGATTTTTGCCGAGTCTGCTGAAGCTCGGTATATACACATTATATACATATATACATACATGTGTATATATATATATATATACAGGGCTGCAATTATATATACAATTACACTCATATGTGTATGTGTATATATATATATGTATGTAATTATTCATATGGATATACACATCATGTATACATACATATATATATATAAATGTAATAATGTGCAACGCGGCACTATCTTTTTGTGTTCCCACATGCTACGAATTTGGTGAACAGTTTTGGGGGACTCCAACATATCGACCACATTGCAGGATGGTTTCTTAGGGAGCTTTAACATGTTGTCCGCAACCTTAACGTTCGCCCAGACTCATCATTGTGACATAACAGAGACAATTCTGTGTTGCTTGGAAGTCGCGAATCCAAGCAAGGCCAAGGGGGAACATTAGGCCACGGTGGCATGTGAAAGATACCTTGAACACAGCTATCTTCATGATTCATGAGGAAACAATATCACCTGATCATCATGAGGGATCAAAATCCACCACCCCCTATGACCAATATGCTGAACGGGCTAACAACATGCCACCCTCTGTGGCCAATATGTTGAATCGGGTAATACATCAACGTTATCTTCATGAGGGAACAAAATCCGCCACCCCCTATTAGCAATATGCTGAACGGGCTAACAATATCAACTTTATCTTCATGAGGGATCAAAATTCGCCACCTCCTCAGAACAATATGTTGATTGGGGAAATAACATCAATTTTATCTTCATGAGGGATCAAAATTAGCCACCTCCTCTGAACAATACGTTGATTGCGGGACATCAACTCCGGACAAACGGCCAGGTTGCAGCGAACATGTTTCAACACTACTTTTTCTGAAAGTAACTGATATTTGCCAACTATCCAACCACCAATTCAGGTGACCTTTTTTTGTGATCCCCTCGAATAGCTACAATACATCCCGAAAAAACGTCAGGTCTGCAACTTAAGATAGAGACTCAACGTGGCCATCACCTTCCAAAAGCCAGTGTTTGCCATCGTGGTTGAAGGCTTTGAAGGTTCCCAGTGAATTTTTGTATACAATTTGTGCCTCCCCCTCTTCGTGAAAGTTTGTTTATAAACCATCCAGTTGTAGAAATAACATATCCATTGTAATGATGGCTATTGATGATTATACATATATCATGTTTTATCACATTGTATCTATATTATTGATGGTTATACACGATAAATCACAATAAAATATCTCATATCCTCATTTTTGTCTGTTGGTTCGACTAAAAAAAGGGTTTCCCAAATTTGACGGTTTATCATCATTAAACCCATTAAAATGGTCATGTGGGAATATTCCACCTTTTCAGACACATCGAAAGATCATATTGTTCGTTGTATATATATCCCATCAATATCCCATATATAACAATGATCATTAAAAAAACAGGTAAATAATGGGCCATAACACCATTTCTGAGCCTAAACACTAGCAATTACGATATAGATATACATACCCATTATCACCCAATTAATAGTTATATATATATATATATATACATATCTTCATACATTATTTTAATATATATATATATATATCCCCATATATATCATCCCATATCCCCACGGAACGGCTCAACCAAGTTGCAGGTGATGGATGGGCACCATTCACGGCCTCAACTCTGAGCGTCACCGTCGTCGCCGTGTTTTCCGTGCGCTGGTGACACAGCACCACCTCGTGAAGGCTCGTGTCCAGGTGAAGGGCGGAGTGGAGCTCTCTAACCAACCATGTTATGGTATATAATATATATATATGTGTAAATAGATAGATGTATACATATATATATAGATAGATAGATAGATGATAGATAGATAGATAGATAGATAGATAGATAGATAGATAGATAGATAGATAGATAGATAGATAGATAGATAGATAGATAGATAGATAGATAGATAGATAGATAGATAGATAGATAGATAGATAGATAGATAGATAGATGTATACATATGTATAAATACATGTGGCATTGTATGTGTATATATGTATACTGTATATACATGCAATGTGTATCCATGATGTTATGGGATATATATAATATAGAATAGGAAATAGAACATACTAGAACTAAACATCTTTTGGAAAGATAATATGATATATTTGGGGACACAATCGACAGAATAAAAATCATGGATTGTCCGTTGGTTCACCCTGGATTCACCTCGCAGACGACGTGGCCGGGCCGTTGATGCTCCGCCCGTGGAGTGTTGCTTAAAATCCAAGCCCAGAACAATGAAGTAATAAAGTAAGTGTATGAAATGACAAAATATGACAAAATATGACAAAATATGACAAAATAATGCAAGATTATCCATGGAAAATCCTGGCTGTTCACATTGCCTTGATCGTTTTTGTCGCATTCAAACAACATCTGAAGAATGGCCACTCCATACAGCTACCAGGCCTCAGGGTCCACAAATCCATAAACGAAATCGGTTTGTTTCTTGGCGCCCGTTGACAAACGCCGTAACTGACCTTCGGCAGCGGCGCGGCCACTTCGGCTGGGTCGTCTGCAGAGTCCCCGTTTTTAAAACACACCTTGCGGCCTTGCCCATGGTTAGTGTAGGATAAGCCCAGTTGAGGACTCTGGGAGGTGATAAAAAGGGGGGTTCTTGGTGGGTCAATGCTGGGTTCATCGTTTTTTTGTGTTTTTTGGGGGAAGATGATCAGAATCAAGGGGATATACCCTCCCGTAAATGAATATATGGAAACCCAAACCCAAAAAAAAATATATCTACAAATGTGCGTTCCATATCTATGTGAATTCTGATGGTAAAACTTCAACGCAGGGAAGATGATCAAACATGTTCAAAAAGGACATCCCTCATTGGTGAGTTCCGAGAAAATCTGAGAATCGTATACGGAGTATCATCATTCTATCTTTGTTGGGATGAAAATTGAAAGTACCCATTGTAATGGGAAACGCCAACCCAGTTTGATTTTTCATACCCAAACAATTCTTGGCTAAATCCATCTAAATCCCCGTTTTGGTTAATGCCTTTGTTGTGTCTTTGCTGATGGTAAAAATCCGCCGCTTCCCTGGTGGTTCATCACCAGTCTTTGTTTCTTAGATGGGCACTGGATGTTGACACCTCCATATATACCCTCTGGGAATTTGACATAGCTATTGAAAATGGCCATTTATAGATATTTATAGTGGATTAACCCATTAAAAATGGTGATTTCCCATAGTTATGTTAGTTTACCAGAGGATACTTTCCGTTGAATACCCTTTATTGCTGGACGGATTAGCCGCACGGATTGCTCGTCATCTTTGTTCCCAATCTTGCCGCGTGTCTTCGACAAGTTGAGACTGTTGGTATTGACGGCCACTGTCCAGTCAGTGTTGCTGATGGAAGTATGAATGAAAAAACACGAAAAAAAAATGTCAGTTTTCCTATTACTGTCACTCATTCCCCTCATGTTTTCCTTCCCAAAGTCCCAAGATATCCCAAGGTTTGTTGCCGATTTCTGGGTTTTCGGCTTCCAGACCTCCACCTTTCCAAGTGCGGAAGCCTCGCCTTTGGCACTGATGCGGGAGTTCCGGGTGTCATGGCTGATGGTGGGCTTCGTCAACATGGCACGGACGCCTGGAGTCAGGGGGCAATCAATGGGCTCCAGGGGGGGATTTTTCATGGGATATATGAACCATTAATAGATGTTCATGGGTATATGGAATCCCATGGTATTTATGGGATATAAGATAAAATTAACTCTAGTTCATGGGTATAACATGATCAATGTTTAAAAACTATGGGGTTATAGTTACAAAATAGTGATCCCATCGGTATAACTATTACTTTCAAGTTAAATCAATGGCCAAGTTGACGCACACAACTAGGCTAACTATGATTTATGGATATAACGTAGTTAATGGGTATATAGAACAATTTATAACTGGAGGGCCTCAGCCTGTACCAGCTACCAGTTAGTGACAGTTAGTGGCTACAGTACTTGGAGGTGCACTTGGTCTGCCATTGATCCCAGAAAGTCACCATCCCCCGCGGTTCCAACAAAGCTATCGCTGTATATATTGGGGAGTGCCTTGGCCTCTTTGTCTGCGGAGGCCAGAAGCTAGTTCTTAAATAAACCCAATTTACAGAAACAATTTCCTAAATCACCGCTGCACTGGGAAACTATGTCCTAAACCAACCCTGAACTGGGAAACTATTCACCAGTACCATTGTTAACCATTCTTAACCATTAATACTCCCCATGTTACATAAGTTCCATGTTTTGAAAAAAAATGGGGTGGTTCCAATTTTGGATCAAGGGATGAACTCAAAAAAAAACAAAAGAATCTCCGACTCGCGAAGGCCTTCAAGGGATACGGGCTGGCCAAAGCGAGCCTCTAACCTTGGAAACGTGGTGACAAAAAGGGTGACCAAAATCTGGAATTCATCCGTGGCACAAAATACAGACGTGGAGATTTATGTTTTTGTTTTTTTTAAGTGTTTAAGTGATCAAAAACATGAAGGTTTCACCAACAACCATTGCATTATAATCCATGAATATCATCAAGAACCTGGTCAACTAGCATGGCTAGCTTCCCCAGGGATGCAAACATGTTGACCCAGGATGTTCAGAGCGATGAAAAATTCCTGGTGTAACTCAGCGATAAATATATCAGTGCAATATGCGAAGCCTTTTGTGATCATGATGTTGCAATCTCAATCAGAGGTTCAAATCTCCAAACTGGATTGTTTGGAGGCCAATAAAAACTGGAAACCGTGATTTTTACCTTTAAATAAAAGCCGGAGGGCCTAAGTCCTTTTTCCATCATCCAATTCTCGATAGCATGCCTTATTTGTAGATATATTCAGGGCGCCTCTGCAATGAAACACTCCAATGTTGAGATATGAAACACAACCCTGGCTTCGTAGTTCACCCTCATTGGCAAAGTATACATTCTCATGATGCACAGTTAGAACTTGCAAAAAAAAAATGTGAGCAAGACTAACCTTGGGTCATGTTTCCTGTCCGACATTTTTGCAACTTCGGAATGTCCCCAACATTTTCACCAGACATCAGCTGAGTTGAGATATCCAGGTTAGTCATCTGGAACTGCCCTACAGCGGGAAGCTTCCCCTCTGAAAAAAGGGAGAAGCCAGTTCTTTCAAGAAAGGGGGACTTCACCAGGGTCATTACCCACTGGCTCCCGCTGTTTGACCTTGGTACTTTGAAATGGTGATCTAGGCAAATTACTACGATTCACACAAACTTGAAACAAACTGTCTTGGGAATGATTTACGATACTGATATCTCTAATAGTAGATATAATGTCAGTGTAATAGTACATATGATATACTCAAATATGTCCTATATCTCTTATACCTATCATGATCATGGTATGAATCTATCTATCTATAATACATGATACTGTATCTATATATATAATATTATATTGAATATTTATAGATATCATGATATTTATGTATATATTGTGCTAATATAACCAGCAAAAAAATCGAACCATCTCCCGTCCTCCGGTGCCTGGCTCCAAGACACTGCCGGTGCACCTCCACCACATCCGGATCGTCCCTGCTGCTGAAGAATTTGTCCAAGCTAAAGGCCATCCCTAAGAAAACGAAGAAGAACAGCAACGTCACCACACCTGGCGTCACCACACCAACCCTTGCGGCTTAGAACAAAACGATTAAAAAAAAAGAGAGAAAAATATATATACATATACATATATTATATATACATATATGTATATATATGAGGTCTAGAAAAATATACCTTCATAGGCTGGGAGTGTACCATATGTATCATGTAGATTATTATGTAATTATATATATTATATAACATTGTATAACTAGCAAATGCTTGGGATGTATGGATGCACCGATACTCCAAATGCTTTCTGCAGCCGACTGAAGGCCACTGAAGGTGAACTCTTCGTAAGTGAATTGTAGTCCCAAATCAGTTGGATAGTTGGGATTGATGCTGAACAGAAATATACCCTCTGGTAAACATACAAAAAACTATGGAAAGATCCACCATGCTTTTAATGGGTAAATCAACTATTTCGATTGGGCCATGTTCAATAGCTTTTTGATGCTTTTTGATGCTTTTTGTATGTTTACCAGAGGGTATATGGATCGATCGATCAAAATCCTGAAAATCTCCACGACAATGATGATGATCCAGAAAATGGGAACTTGATCAAAAAATTATGCAAATGATAGGGTCTTATCTACTCGGATGTGGGGTATGATTCTATCCCAATGGATCCCACTGGTCGCAGGGTTTATTTTCGAACAAAAAAAAACTAGCTTTCAGGACCAACGGACCCAGCAGTGGGGAGAACCCATGATGTTTGGCTTTTCATTTTGGATTTCCCAGGACAAATAATCTTAAAACATCAAGCTGAACGATCTCCGGCCAAAATCTCTGCTCAGTGGCCCTGCCTTCCCAGATATCCACGCGGTTTGGAGTGATGCCCGACAGAACCACCAACATCCACCTGGGGATGGCGGGGAGATCCTCAAGTGATCACGACTGGAAGACCCAAGTTAAGGGACCACGGGGACCTTTCGACGCAGCCAGTACCCTCCAGTACTCAGTTCCGTGGCACCGTGGCAATGGAAACTCCACCATTGATAGATAATTTTCCCAGCAAAAAGCCTCCATTTCTATGGGGATGTTCTAAAATTCCCACGGTTTACCAGAGGTCGCATAAAGCCATCAGCAAGCAGGGCACAAATAGGCAAGCACCGAAGCGCTGCATGTGAAGATAAAGACCTGAAACTTCTGGATCTTCCGAACATCCATGTGAGGAATCGCCGAAATGCACACGGATGATATACCTTGGGCCATGGCGGCCATGCTGGAACAACCGTTGCGCCGTTTTTTTTCATGGATATCCCATGATAAAAAAGGGGGAAATGACATCCTCAAGAGGATGGACAAGCAATCCCCTAGAGATTGGGATTTGATCTCTCAACACACCAGTCACCCATTGTCTTTGGGTTGAAGGGAACATTTTTATACAGGAAAGCTTCCTCTCTTGCCAAGTCTGAGAGGTCAACACTTGGCACAACAGGATTGATCGACTCCTGATGTTGGAAGCACCTGGTTCCCTTCAAGAATTTGCCAAGAAAATCAACCGATCACCTCTGATCCGCAAATTTTCAGGGATCTGCCAGTGGCTGGCTTTGGCTGGCTTTGGCCCAGAATTTGACAAACCCAAGTAGCTTCTCCCATGCTTGTTGCATTGCTTCCCATGGGGATGGATCAAGACCTAAGTATTCTACAATATTTGAGGCTGATGAACATCCAGTACCACCTATGCCAAGGTGTGAACAGAAGGGTGCCAAGGTGCTGACCAAAAAAAACACATGATCAATCTAATATCATGTATTCCCATGAAGAATTGGCAATCAATCCACATGATCAATGTTCCATACCATCAAATGTTAGTGTATTATCATCAATTATCATCATCAAAAAACTGCCAGGCATGAAATTATCATCAATTATCATCAATTATCATCAATTATCATCAATTATCATCAATTATCATCAATTATTATCAATTATCATCATCCCGGAAAAAAATTCCCAGGCATTTCGGGCCACGTCTTCTTCGCGCCCGGTGGCAAAATAAGTTGAAGGATGCGCTGCCCACCACCGTTTGAGGTCCGAGGCTTCCAGCGAAGAAGCGCTGGGAACACAGCCTGAGGCGATGAAAGATGGAGGTTTCCAAATGGGGGTACCCCCAATGGTAAACATACAAAAAGCTATTGAAAATGGCCATTTATAGTGGATTTTCCCATTGAAAAATGGTGATTTTCCACAAATGGGGGTACCTTTCTGATGGTTTTCATGGAAATTCTGATAGTTTCCCAATGGAAAATCCCATATAAATGGAGGTTTCTAGCTGGGAAAATCATCTATAAATGGGCCATTGATACCCTCTGGTAAACATACAAAAAGCTATTGAAAATGGCCATAGAAATAGTGGATTTACCCATGAAAAATGGTGATTTTCCATAGCAATGTGAAAGTTTACCAGAGGGAAAGCTTCTAAAAATTGGTCCTCAGTGACCTCCACCCAGGATGTGTTTTTGATCCATTTTTTTAGCTACACAATTTTTAAAAAAAAACAGAGACAGTAGGCAGGAGTTGAGACTTCCTATCTTTCTTTTGCTTCGCAATCCGAAAAAAAATGGCTGGAAAATCCAGCGATGTTTGAAGCTCCAAACATCTCCAAAGTCTCCAGGATCCCAACGAAAAAAACCCACCCCCAGCCATGAAACTCCACGGTGGACAATAAAATTTCAGGTGCCGAAGAGCCTACCACAGAATCTGGCCATGCTGGCCATGACTTGGGGATAGGCCGGATAGGCACGTGCTTGGATGATATTCTGGTATGTTGATATATGTATGTGTATGTATATATATACTACTAAAATAAAGTTAAATATGTGTATGTATAATATATATATATATAGATAGATAGATAATATGCATACGTATGTCTATGTGTATGTCTGGCTGAATTACAATAGTTCACCAACCTGAAAACAAGTGAAGATGATTCCTCTTACTAACCATCATTCCAGTGAGGTCGCGACGTGAGGTCATGATAAATTCATCCAGAGATCATACATATGTTATGGTATAGGCATGGATAAAACCCAGGAAAAATTGCACTTTTTGAATATATATAATGATTCAACATTTAATGTATTATGTAATATATCATGAATCCATCTCATGGACTACAAATACATTTTAAAAAAGATATAGATAATCTAGATATATATATATATAATATATATAATATACTATATATATATATTATATATATATACAGATATATGTCATTTTTAGGTCTGTGTTATGTCATGACATGGACGTCTCCGTCATTCCAGGCATTGCTCGGCATTGCTCGCCCCGCCCCCTGGCGAAATCTCCCAGCCTAGTGCCTCGGAAGCAGCGAAACGTTTGGGAAACACATCGGGATCATGGGCAAACCCTACCAATCATGGGTACCCTCTGGTAATTTAACATAGCGAACTGGAAAATCCCTTATAAATGGGGGTTTTAATGGGAAAATCATCTATAAATGGGCCATTTTCCATGGCTATGTTAAATAACCGGAGGGTAATGTTTAACAGTTTGCTATTGAAAATACCCCATAGTTAAATAGTTGATTTATGTTGATTTACCCATTCATAGCATGGTGATTTTCTATAGGTTTTTTGTGTATGTTTACCAGAGAGTAGGAAATGATATGATTGATATGGAAATGATACGGACATATGGACATATGGAAAATATCATCTGTAGTGGATCTTATGGATGTTACACTGTCCATATCTATGCCATATATTTTCGCCACTTCAGGAGTCATTCTGCCATGGCCTTTTTTCACATTCACCATTGCTAGAGAAGCCAAGAAGAAGTGGCCAAGCCTCGAGAACCATCATTCCAAGCGATCCACTAGCGCAGTTTGGAAAAATATCGAAAGCGTGTGCCGAAAATCTGTGAGACGTTCGATGGCAGATTTCAGGTTCGATTTCTGTTCACAAACCGCAGATACCCGAAATTTCATGGTTAAGAGCTGGATATTGTCTAATCATTGCTCCATCGACATGGTTAAAATATGTTAAAATCTAATCATTCTAGTTCATGTTTATCTGTCTTGAACTTGCAGTCGGTTTACCCCAGTCTTGATGGGTGAATCCCAGTGATGTCTGGTATTCTGCTGCTGTTTGCAGCCCTTGCAGAAAATTAAAATCTCGAAAATCCATCATTTATAGAAATGGGCCCGTAAATTTTCAGACAGATATAGAGAATTCACCATGAAAGTCGATCATATCTTAGATATTCCCATGGTGCCGAGAATCTTGATAGGAATCACCAGTGCTTTTTTGGGTGGTTTTCAATGGTTTTCCTTTAGAAATTCCATGGCTAAAAAACTGCTACAGTCATCACCGGTGCCGTTTCGCGACGTCGCGACGCAAAAATTGGTGCCGGGATGCCATCAGACTAAGATTCGCCAAGGTCCCGTTCCAGATCGTGAGTCGAATCTTCACCTGTGCCGAAGTTCCATGGGATTCATATGGCTATATAAGGGTACATACATATAATATAATATGATATAATATGATATGATATAATATGATATGATATAATATGATATAATATTATATATTATGATATAATATAATATAATATAATTTAATTTAATTTAATTTAATATGATATAGTATAATTTAATATAATATGATATGCTATAATATAATATAACATAATATGATATGATATATATGATATGATATAATATGAAATAATATAATATAATATAATATATTATATAGTATTATATTGTATTATATTATAAACCGTGGAAAATGTGTATATATATATATATGTCATCCATTTCATGGTTGGAATCCAAACTTTTGACGGCCTTTTTTAGGAGATGATCCCAAAAGGGAAAATATAGGGACCAATGCCTTGTGGGCTACCCTCTGGTAAACATACAAAAAACCTATTGAGTCGAAATCGTTGATTTACCCATGAACAATGGAAATTCTCCATAGTTTGTATCTTTACCAGAGGGTATATGATATCTCCATAGATTGACATATATAGCCATAGAAATGGAATGGCCATAGAAATTCTCCATAGATTGATACAGTGATATCCCCAAATATCCCTACATGATATCTGCATGATTTATATCCATCGATTTGCGCTTCCGATGATCCCATCGATGATGACCTTCACATTGATCCACTGGTTCCATGTTCCTATTATATCCCCATAAATGGCTCTGTATAATGTATAAATATGTTTATATATATATCCTTTTATATCCCATGGTATATACGTATATCATACATACTGTATGTCTATATGTCTATAATTATATATACATATTATCCATATGACATCATAAATGGTTGTTTACACTGGCACTAATTTCCAGTAATATTCCACATTGTTGGTTATATCCACATGTTCATTGGTTAGTCGGCTGAACCTATAAATGCTGGATGATATTCCATTAGAAAAAGTCTCTTTGTGGTTGGTTATATACCCCTTCTTGTCGGTTCATCAAAGACACCCCTATATCAACCACAATTACCCCTTCTTGTCGGTTCGTCAAAGACACCCCTATATCAACCACAATGGTTAGTGACTATTCATGCTCAACATATACATATACCCTCTGGCAATTAAACCGTTTGTTTATGTTTGTTTGCACTTGAAAATCACCATTAAAAGCCACGGTAAATCATTGAACGAAATGGCCAAGAACTCGCTTCCACAACAAACTCTTTGTTTACTGCGAAACGGGCGGAATAGCCATATTCATCCCGGTCATCCAATTATTTTAATAGATATTCACCAGCTATTCATAGATATTACCCTCCAGTACACTACTGCTATTGAACATGGTCTATAGTTGATTTACCTCTCAAAAATGCTGATTTTCCAGTTCGCTATGTAAACGTTGACCAGAGATTAACCACTTGTTAACCACTATAAAATGGCACTAATTAACCACTATTAACCACTATAAATGGCACCAATGCCATGGCTCTCCCGGCCCCGGTCTGGCGCCTTCTGGCCGGCGCGATTGGTGATCCACTTGGAGCGTCTGCTGCTGGTGATCTTTTCGATGGCCGCCATGAACTCGTCGCAGATGATGCCCACCTAACGACGGATAGTGGCACCCGGAAACCATCGCGGCTTTTTTTAAATAGGGGGGATCATAGATGGGGATTTTGCACACAAAAAAACAACCAAAGTACTAGGGAAATCATTGGAGTGCGATGATTTTCAGTGTTGATTGATGATAAAAGAGTGTATGCAAATATTGTTCAAATGGGGATGTAACACGTATGCGCGCGCAAACGGCTATTAGGCTGACAAATTCCCGCAACAGCTGACGCCTGGGATTTGTTTTTTCAGTAATCGGGTTCTACCGGTTCTACCAGCTTTGCTGGTATAATGAATGGTGAAGTATCAAACATTCTCAAACTATACTTTGACATGGGGATGGGTCAAAACCCTGGTACCGTGCCGTGAACCCCAAGTCATAGCTGGGTTAAAATGGATGTTCATCCCACTAAAAATGGTATCTATAAGTATTGACCCATACCCGCGGTGCGGTGCGGCCCAGGGGACCCCTTGGAATGACCACAGCAGGACAAAGAGATAGAAGATTGTCCTCGCCCTTGGTTCGGTTCTGGGGGCCGGGGGTGTGTTAGTATAACATGGTATAACTGGGATGGATTTTAACCTAAGTTTTGGCGACATAATTTTCTGAACTATGGCTACAGTCTTTCAAAATAGGAAAAAAAGGATAAGCATAAACTTGTCAAAGTCATCAAGTAGTGATTGAGAAGCCTGAAAATGGATGGTCGATACGAATATTGATACTATTGACCCATTCACCATCCTTACCATTTGTCTCGCTAAACGTTCTTTGATGTTGACAACAGTGGCACTAGCAGTTTAGGTAGTTCTGTTTCACGCGTGGCAGTGCCGAGAAAGTGTCAACAAGAAACGAAAATAGGTCTGTCTGATTTTTTTTGCAAAACCCAAAAGCTGAGGGCAAGAAATTCATGTTCCCCATTCAAATTGCCATTTCGGGCTACCCTTAATTTTGGCAAACCCAGCTACTATTGGTTCCACCCCAAAAAGATCGCCTACTCAATGATCCAAACACACAAGTGAACATGCCGAAACAAGGTGTCACTCAAACATATCACAGTCAACTTTGATGTGCGCAACAGCCATCTTCCTCTATGATATTCTGACAGAAAGTCCTGGAGCTAGCCAGGCGTGCATCCCATTCAGAACTGAGCACTGTCCTGTAGACGTGTATATATATATGTGCACATACTGTATACATATCTATGTAACTATTATATATATATGTATATATATATATATACATACATACATATATATATACACATTATATATATATACACATTATATATATATATACACATTACATATATATATATATATACATATTTTGCATATATGATGGGGATATATGAGTTGTCACCATGAATCCCCTAAGTGGGATGCATCCCCTGCTTCCCATATTTCCCAACACTCGGCGATCTGGAGAACTTCTCTGATCTGATTTAGGGATGATCCTTGAAATCCGCAAACGACAAGTGACTGAATTCAAATCCCGAATTCATAGATAAGTGATGATAAGTTTGTGATCGTGTGGTATATATATATATGTACACCAACTAAAAGAAACCAACGTTTTTTGGTCAATAACTATGGTATAGCCAAGTTGTTAATCTGTACATACAAGCACAGGTTATTCCATACACCTTTTGCGAGTGGCAAATCCGACCAATTCTTTTCGTAGTCGCCGCCCACGGGCATTACCAGAGTCCCACTACCGCAAAACTCGCAGCTCCTGGTTTTTCGAACAAGAAAAAGGGTAGATGACCCACAAAAATTGAGGCTTTTTACAATACAATTGGTGTAAAAGCCATAGGTTGTGGGAAAAATGGTTAGCAACCATAGTTCGCCCAATTTGTATGATTATGCATATACATCTGTGTATAGAGAGAGAGAGAGATACATCAATATATTACATATTATATAATACATATACACATAATACATACCGATACATATACAATTATGATCAATTATGTATCCCCACACCAGCAATCATCAGGGGTATGAACCAAGTACAATTCTGACGGAAACGAGCCAGCGGTGGGGTGAACCAACCAGAAATATTCAGATTTCACAAAAAAAAAAGGGGGGAGAGAAGGATAGAGAAGGGGCAAAAACTTGGGGTGTGCTGGATGGTCATAATATGTTTTTGTATATGATGTCAGTACATGTCAGTGATATCCCCAAATTTTTCGGTGCCGAATCCCCACGTTCGCTGTTCAAAATGCCACGCTTTCCCTGAGGGACGTGCCATGGCAAGCCCGCCTTCGGGCAACCATTTTAACACCAGTGCAATCTTTATCTCCAAAAGCTGCTTTCTCTTGAAGAATAACCACAAAATAAGTGATCTCCTTGGCTGAGGAAATGTATCGATGGATATGATGGATGAGCTCGAGCGCTGAAAAAATGTTGTTTTTCAAACATGGGTGTTTTCACGAAAAACGGGAAACCATGGCTCTTACTTCCAAATGTCATCAAAATTGCGGGTTTCCTCCAGATGTTTCCTCCAACCCATTCTTTGATGCCAGTGGATGGAATCTCCAAGGATTTCCTCTGGAAAAAAGGTGAGTCATGGCAGGGTTTTGCATAACCCGATAACCGTGAAAGCCATTCGTCAGGGCTTACGTTACCACAAAGTAGAAAAAAGATGAAGCCACGGAAGCTATGAAAGACCGCGATATAACATGATATATCATGATATAACGATGCAAAATGGAGGAGACATGGGAGAAAGATGGAGACATCCTGCGAAAGATGGCCATGGTCAATTCTTTTGAGGCCGCCCAGGTCATCCAGGTACCCCCACCAACTTCCCCTGCGAACGTCCGATGTACTCAGGAAGCGACCCAAGCTGTGCGCTACAAGTTGCCCAACCCAAAGCTGGGACCCATACTCGTAGACTTGGATTTGCTGGCTCCCAAAATGTCACAAAACTATTTTTATTTAAAAAAAAAAAATAAAATAAAAAAAACTAACCCCTATTAGATTCTTATTAAATGGTTGATGTTCAGAAAATCAAACATCCGACGTTCACCAAACAGGGGAAATGGCGTTCAGCCAAGGGGCAGCAGCGAGGACCAGCAGAAAAGCCAGAGTGGATTTGACGATTTCTATTCTCACATCCACCGATCTGGGCCTTGGGGCAGTTCCCAAAAAATCTGGAAATTTATTCTACGAAAACCCATGGTTTCGAGGGGGCCATCTCCCACGTGTCCATCTGTACGTCAAGTGCAGCGAGTGATTTTGAGCGCGTTGAAGACATTGGGAGCTGGGAGCTGCCCAAACTGTTGAGAAGGTATACGATACCTCAATGACTTGGTTTAACGGAAAATCTAGAGGAAACCATGGTTTTTCCCACCAAATATGGGCTTTCCTGTAGATTTTCCCTTAAACCAATCCATTGAATCCTACCATACCCGCAATATTTCTGGTAGAACTTTGCCAGAGTCAGACCTCACCCAGCAGCCCTCAAAAGGGCCCTGTCTCCATGTCCAACTTCAGAAGTCCAAAAACTCGCGTAAGTTGGGTAGTCTTCCACCATTCAAAGTCCAAAAAAATATTAATTCACCTAGCAACTTAGCCACCCAAAACAAAGCTTGTTGAAACTGTTTGCCGGTGTTGCTTGTCTATTCCCCCCAAGAAAAAAACCAGAGTTCACCTGTGTTCACCTCACCAGCTGCAACAGTTGCAACAGTCAAGACCAGGTCGCTCCGGTGCATTTGCATTGGATTCTAATTCACTGACTCTTTTCTGAGCCAAGTCAAGCGCTCCTGGAAAGACAGGAACCCCCTGAACACCCTGTACACCCGGTCGGATATCACCCGTTTGGCGAAGAAAAGGACAAATGATATCCCATTTTTGTCGAGCTTACAAGAATCATCTGAACTTCAGACAGTTTTCAACTTCGATGTTTGATTTTCAGATTTTGGGTTTGTGGTATTTCTCGGGTATCTTGCCATCTAATTCCCTTGTCAAATCTGCTCAAATAGACTCTCTGGAAACATGAAAATGAACAAGTCCTGGAATTCATGATCGAATGGTGGATGTTGCATTGTGATATGGGGTGACCAAAGGGTAACGTGACTCTTGGATTGTCACAGCATGAAACTATTAGATATGATGGAGGGTAGGTATACGATGGTATATGATGGTATACGTATATATATATATATATAGAGAGAGAGAGAGATAGATTTTAAAAAAAAACAATACCACGGCCCTTTTTTAAATGCATCAAAAATCAGCCATAAAAAAACGCCAGGAATTCACGGCTTGGTCCATTGCTGTCCTTTGGTTTCATCCAATTCCGTCAAGGCCTAGATGGCCCAAGGCGGCCAAGGCCGGCTCCAGGTTGGCTGTTGACTTTAAAAAAACCATAGGAAAACCATGGGAAAATGATGATTTACACAATAAAAATCAATAAAACCATGGAAAACATGATAGAAAAATGGAGATTTCCCCATTTTTTTACTTACTGATAGTTTTTCTGAACTTCCGATTGAAAGCTGCATTGTGGATAGGAGGATTTTCCAGCCACGTTTGAAAAAAAGGAGCTGCCGAGGAGTCTGACTGAGAGTTTCTATCGTTCTGGGACCCGCAAAATGCTGTGCCGAAAATCCCCTGGCATGGCAGCTATAGAAAAACCTATGGATTCTCATCATGTTACATGGTAATGACTCTTGTGATTGCTGGATAGATCTTCCTTTTACCCTACTGATACTGAAAATAGAATATCTCCTTATATATGTGGTTCATTGTTTTTTTTGTATTTTAGCACCCCTCCCTTGTTTGAGGTGTTTTTCAAGCCACCGAGGGCCAGCTGTGCATTGCTCCTCTGTTCAGTGCTGCAAACCCCAGCTCTTCTTCATGGCTCATGGCATTTCACACAGCAACTTTTGAAACACCGCGATCCGATTCTGTTCCCGTTCAAAGTCAGCTAAGGCATCACCAAGATCACCAAGGCTGAAGACCGAGGAACGAAGTGCAGCTTGTCCTGCAATTCTTCGATCGTGCTTTTCCGATCAAGCCTCAGCTTTCCCCCGAAACGATCATCCACCGGTGGCACATTTCAGGTTGGACCATCAGAACCCAACAACCTTAGGCAACCAACCAACCATCCGCTCCGTTTATCATTCACTGGATCAAACCATGATCGCACGGTGCCATGGGGTACCATGGACCACGGGTTCCATGTGAGACGACCAAGTGAGCCATCTCAATATCCGATGGTGACCGCCGGAATATCCACATGCCATACCGGAATATAACTGAAAATATTCTTTTAATGTAAACACACGGGATTTTCAAGTGCCAAGTTGGACTTCTGGAGGGGAACATTTCTTGAAGTTTTGAGAGCTCAGTTCATTTCAGATTATTTCACCAAGTTTCCTCATTTCAGAGCGGTCTGTATCAGGAGACCACATTCTAACCTTGGCGTCGGAACCGGCCGTAACTCCCTGTGCGATGGGAGTAGAGTCCCCATATGTAGACTTGCTAGACATCACTCCTGGATGGCATTTTTTTGTGTATGATTAATCCCCCACCGTTTGCAGTATCCACATAATGCCACCATTGTTGCAGTACTATGGGTCCCATGCATTCACAGGAGTGTCTTAACCTCCCTGTTATCCCCATCGTTGTTTGGTGGTTCGTGGCCCATTTCGGTGGGAAAAATTGCTACAATCATGAGTTAAATCCACACGAACATGTGTTCATAGCCATGGTTCAACTGTTGATAGTTTCGACCCCAGCTCAGTATGAACTCTTTTTTTAGCCCGTGACTTAAATACATGAATTACATGAACAAAGCGCTTGGTGATGTTTTTTGTTGGATGATTTCTACAGAGCTCAACTGTCCTGCCCCATGTCCTGCCCCAACAAACCTTCGGAAAACTGCCCCAACGGATGCCCTTCGGATTTTGATCGAGGTACATCCGAATCCTTCTCATCGCCATCGGGCATCATCGAGGCTGGGGGTCTCTCAACTTTCCTTGGACGACCAAACGACCAAAACGTGGACAGTGCACAGCAATTAATGGTCCTATCAGAGTCTTGCTGAAGGAGTTGCAGTATGTTGCGGTGATGTCTCAAATCTTCTCAACTCTTTTCTCAACTCATCCTCACCTCTTCTCACCTCTCAATTCTTCTCAACCTCTTTTCAACCTCTTCTCAACCTCTTTTCAACCTCTTCTCAACCTCTTCTCAACCTCTTTTCAACCTCTTCTCAACCTCTTCTCAACCTCTTCTCAACCTCTTCTCAACCTCTTCTCAACCTCTTCTGAATAACCATATGGACATCATTTCTGACATAAGCTACTCGTATCCATCGTTTTATCTGGACAATACTGGATAATCCCAAATGCTGCATGCTTATTGACTCTTTTGATCTTTATTGCTCGATAGGCCATACATACAAGTACCAGTAGTACCGCACAAGGCGGCGGCGGAAGTTTCAGAATAGGAAACCTATAGGAGACGTTGGTTGTTGTGAATCACGGATGGCAGAGCGAATCCACTGATTGACCGAAAGGTGGTTGGAGTTGTGTTTGCTGGAATGGTTGCAATGGTTGCAGTGGTCACCTCACCCACAACTGCTGGATGTAGTGTGTTGTACTGCAACTGTAGTTGTAGTTGTAGCGTAGTGGAGTTGTAGTTGTGGTGTAATGTAATTAGTGTAGTGTAGTTGCAGTCATATAGTT